CTCCAATTGTGTTGACATTTTACAATTGCGATGCGCATCCATGAGTATCCACTTTCTGTAGCTCAGCTGGTAGAGCATGGCGCTTGTAACGCCAAGGTAGTGGGTTCGATCCCCGGGACCACCCATACACAAAAATGTATGCACGCATGACTGTAAGTCGCTTTGGATAAAAGCGTCTGCTAAATGGCATATTATTATTATTATTATTATTATCTGAAGAGAGCCCCGAAACATTGTGTGCAGACATTTTATGCAATAAATGAAGTAGGTTGAATCTAGTAGTTCTGATCTTCTTATTGGTCCTGATGAGTTGGGCGAGGTCCCCTCCAGGCTACTGTCACTGTTGCATTGGCTCTGAGTCGGGTTCTCTGTCTTCAAATGTTCAGCCTAAGAGAGGGGATTTTTGTGTGTGTGTGTGTGTGTGTGTGTTTAACAGTGATGATGTGTGTGTGTGTGTGTGTGTGTGTGTGTGTGTTTAACAGTGATGATGTGTGTGTGTGTGTGTTTGTGTGTGTGTGTGTGTGTGTGTGTGTCCTCAGAGCAAGAACTCGTGAGTTGGAAGAACTGAGAGGCCTATGGCGTGGGTGTTGTCCTTGGCCACCTGCTGACAAGGCTGACAAGATAGGACCCTTTTGTCCATTGTTATTGGATAGGAACAGAACTTATAACCAGCTCCTGACCTAAATAGATCTTAGCACAACATTTTACTCAACATATCATATTCCATATTCACTATAACAAATATATTTACTACGACATTAGCAAGAACCGCCACATCCTCAGCCGGCTAATCCAGTGTGTGAAGTTTTGCGGAGTGTTTGAGTTAGCTTTGCGAGGCAAAGATGAAACTGAGGGCTCCACCAACCCTGGTAAGCCAACACTTTTGAGATCAGTCAATAAATGCTTCTGGTATTGACTTATATGCTGCCCCTGTCTTCATGTTGTTGCTGGACATATCTTTTTTAAAATGTGTGTAGGTCACCTAAATCATCAGAAAAATTGCCCCCCCTGAGAATTTTTTCAGGAGCCGCCACTGCACACAACACTCTTAGAAAAAAGGCTTCAAAAAGGGTTATTTAGCTGTCCCCATAGGATAACTCTTTTTGGTTCCAGGTAGAACCCTTTTGGGTTCCATGTGGAACCCTTTCCACACAGGGTTCTACATGGAACCCAAAAGGGTTCTACCTGGAATCAAAAAGGGTTCTACGTGGAATCAAAATGTTTCTAGATTGCACCTTTTTTTCTAAGAGTGTAGGTGCATGCATCTTTTAACATTGCACTGTGTGCAAAACAAAGTATGTTGTGCTATTCCAATACACAACCATAAGTCTCTGCACTGTCTTGCATGTTTGGTCATTCTGTATAATGGTTTCTGTTCTAAAAGACAACAGTTATACAGACCTTTGCTCCTTGTGTGGCCACAGTTTCAGAGGACATGATAAAAGCTATACAGGTAGGAAACCCTCATTCCAGTCTGTTATTGCATTCACCAAAATATGCATAAAGTGATGGGTTACTCACAGTAATGATTTGTTTGTATCACAAGGCCACACAACATCTGATATGGAGATTGATTCGTGCTTTCTTTATTGTGTCAACTTACCCTTGGAGCTCAACCAAAAACAGAATTTGGATTCAGCTATTACAGGAATTGTTACTCTTCAAAATAATTGTGTTATGACCATCAAGATTTACGCTTTAAACTAGTATTGTGAATAGCGGTGCCCTGAAAGGCCCTGACTGGGTTTGTCAATGGGGAATTGCCTGCACTTCAGCTCTGAATTTAAGTGTATGTAAACTTCCGACTTCAACTGTACCACAAACGTCCGAGGTGCCTTATTGCTATTATAAACTGGTTACCAATGTAATTAGAAAAGTAAACAATAATTTTTTCTTCATACCGTGGTATATTTAAGCAATAAGCCACGAAGAGGTGTGGTATATAGCCAATATACCACGGCTAAGGGCTGTTGTTTAACTGGTTACCAAGTTAATTAGAGCAGTAAAAATAAATGTTTTGTCATACCCGTGGTATACGATCTGATATAACACGGCTGTCAGCCAATCAGCATTCAGGGCTCGAACCACCCAGTTTATAATTGTTGATATATAACAGTTTTCTGCCAATCAGCATCCAGTACCCAAACTACCATACATTTTCCGTTTTTATGTAAACTTTATTTTAACAGGGAAATCCCATTGAGACCAATACCTCTTTTGCAAGGGAGCCCTGCATGTACACAAAGTATACAAAATGTACTAATGTTGTAAAGGAATTGGGTTGCTCTTTAAAAAAAACTTGCTTTCATGTCGTACTTATAGCTAATGTTGTTTTGTTTTTGTTAATGCTTTCTATGTAGCTATGTTTTTTTCTTTAGCAATATGTTGAACATTTCACTGCTCCCTATGTTGCTTGGGTCAACCCTTCCTTTCTTTCGTGGTCCTCTGTAGCTCAGCTGGTAGAGCACGGCGCTTGTAACGCCAAGGTAGTGGGTTCGATCCCCGGGACCAACCATACACAAAAAAAAAAAAAAAATGTATGCACGCATGACTGTAAGTCGCTTTGGATAAAAGCGTCTGCTAAATGGCATATTATTATTATTATTATTATTTCCCCTTTATACGGTAGTCACCGCTGTCCATGGTGCTGAAATCGTTATTGCTCTACTGCACTGAGAGTGGAGTCTTATACAAGATACGGCTAGGGCAGACTAATCTACGACATTGGTACTCCAAATGGTTACTCCCGTTTCTTACATTTAAACGTCAGATTGTAAAACCCCCTCAAAGTGAATTAAATATGGCCTCTCTAATGGTATTATTTCACGACGACTATTCAGTTGTATTCACCCTGTATAGTCCGAGAGTGTAGGTAGGCCCTACACTAATCGCTCCTGTGTTATTTCCTTTAGCCTCATGGCGTCACTCCTCACCAACTCTATGATATTGAGCCTTTAAACACTCCCATTTCGTTTTTAGCTATATGAGCAGGATGTATCCACTCGGCCATTGCCTGCATTGCGGAGCATAACGTGCTGTACTGGTGTCTGTAAGATTCATCGTCGATATTGTGCTTATTGACATATTTGTATTTATTTTTCTGCCATTGCCATTGGATTAAGTGAAGATGTCGATATTTACTACATCGTGCAGATCTAAATGGCATATGTAGTGTACTGTGATTTTGCTTGCTATAATTCAGGCCTCTGTTGCGGACATTCGATATTCTGTTCCCGAGGAGACAAAGAAAAAACATGTAATCGGGAGCTTGAGTAGTGACCTTCGTTTGGATGTTAGGTGACTGATGGTTCGGAAAGCCCGAGTTGATTTCCAGGGAGAGAAACTGTACTGTGGAGTAGACTTGGACTCCGGAGATCTCATTGTTCTCGAGAGAATCGACAGGGAGATGTTTTGTGGAACCACCTCACCCTGTCTCTTGCATTTTGAGTTCATCTTGGAGAACCCTTTGGAACTGCAAGAACGTGGTGGAAATACAGGACATTAATGATAACCCTCCCATTTTCCCAAAGGTTTTAATCAAATTGGAAATAAGCGAGACCGCTCCAACAGGTAGTCGATTTCAAATAGCCTCGGCTCGAGACTTAGATGTAAGAGTGAATTCAGTTCAAAATTATGTTCTTGGTCATAATGAGTACTTTGTGTTGAAATCAAAAGGCAGTAAAGAAAGGTATGTGGAACTTGTTTTGAAAAATAACCTAGACCGAGAGAAAGAAGGGGAGCATTCTCTAACACTGTCGGCAATTGATGGGGGTAAACCTCAGCGGTCATTCAGGTTGTCGTGAAATATGTTAATGATAACGCCCCTGTTTTCACACAAACTCTTTATAAAGTTACCGTGATTGAAAATTAATATCCAGGCACATACGTAGTCAAGGTTAGCGCAACTGATAAAGATGAGGGTGCAAATGGTCAAATAGCGTATTACATTAATCATGTGTCTGAAAACAGCAATGGTTTATTCCACATTGACCAAAACAATGGGGAGATTGCAGTAATAGGCGAGCTTGACCACGAAAAGGCCTCGTCTTATGAAGTGGAGATTCAGGCAGAGGATGGCGGGGGTCAGGCCGGAAACTGCAAAATCCTTGTAGAAATATCTGACAGAAATGACAATGCACCTACAATAACTGTAAAATCAGTAACCAATCCGATTCCAGAGAACGATCCAGCAGGCACTGAAATTGCTGTTATTAATGTTAAGGATCAGGATCATGGAGACAACAGCAGACTGAAGTGCTTCATTGCGGAAAACCTACCTTTTAAACTCCAATCCTCAATTTAAAAAAAAAAGCAGCGCCCCCCTGGATCGGGAGCAAATAACTGAATATAATGTCACCGTAATAGCAACCGATGAAGGAACGCCGTCCTTGTCTTCAAGTGTTATGTTGAGTTTCCACATTTCTGATATATAAATGACAATCCACCTGTGTTTGAAGAATAATCCTACAGCGCCTATGTGACTGAAAATAACAAGCGTGCTCCTCTATGTGTTCTATTACTGCCAGAGACCCAGACTGGAGACAGAACGGTACAGTGGTATATTCTCTATTTCCCAGTGAGGTCAACGGGGTTCAGGTGTCATCATTTGTGTCCATCAATGGAGACACGGGGGTGATCCATGCTGTGAGAACATTTGATTATGAGCAGTTTGGGAGCTTCAAAGTCCGCGTTTTAGCCAGAGACAATGGTTCTCCTCCACTCAGCAGTAACGTGACTGTGAGTGTCTTCAAATGATAACTCTCCCCAGATATTATACCCTGCTCCAGCAGGGAACTCCTTGATGACTGAGATGGTCCCCAAAGCTGCTCTGGCGGGGTCCCTGGTTTCCAAGGTGATAGCTGTGGATGCTGACTCTGGACAGAACGCGTGGCTTTCATATCAGATCATGAAATCGATTGATCCGGGACTTTTCACTATTTGTCTCCACAGCGGAGAAATCAGGGCACAGCGGGACATTTCTGAATCCTGAATTATGAGGCATACCAACGGGCTCACGCACCAGTGACTTCAAATTTGTCAGATCTTACAATGACAGCACGTTGCCTGCTGGTCTTACACTGCAGAGGAATTCAAATAAGTTATTAGAAGGGAGTATCATCACTCTCAACACTGCAGGAGAGGCGCACGAGGTAATATTTTACTAATTTGATACAGGCCTATCACTTGTTGTGTTTTTGGTTTTGGTTTAGATTATGTCTTGTTGTTAGGCTAAATGTGGAATTTCTCCACGCATTGTTTGGCATGAGTCGTGGTGTTTCAAAGTTCCTGTTTTTACTCTGTGTACGATTAGTGTACCCTCATCTCAGCAACTAGTTAGGCTATTCGCTAGGGGTTGATTTGACTGAAGTGGTTGCTAATTGTTGGTTTGGGCTATTATTTTATACTACATTCACAATTTTACAGACAATACAGTTTGGTTTGCTTTTATTTTGTGCCTGTGATGGTAACTTGATTCATCACTTGACTGATTTTCTGATTTAGTTGACGAGTAGCCTAAGCTTGATGGAAATAGGAAAACAAGGTTTACTTTTTAAGTGGAATCACTCTTAGTTTTAAATAACCTATATTGACCCGTACTTTGTTGTTAGGACTTTTTTCATTCACCATAAAGCATGTTCTCGACTCGGGATGTGTCATGAACCCTGCATCCTGAGTCGGTTCCTGCCTGTGTTGCCATTTTTCTGCTCGGAATCTCCAGTTTCCTGAGGGTTCGTGAACGCTCCCGGCCTGGTTGCCGGGCGAGGTTGCTAGGCGGGAGATCACCCGATTAACCGCACCTGCATCTCATCAGCGGTCTGCACACCTGGTCCTGATCATCACCCTTCTTAAGCCCTGACCTGACATCCATTCCCTGCCGGATCGTTAGCCATGAACAGTATGTTTGTCAGTGTATCAGCCTTGGAGTTTCTAGCGTTAGTTTTGTTGTTTTGCACCTTGTTGGCTTGCCGTGTACTTACCTCCGTTTTGTTTCTATCTGCAGTCAATCTCCCGGAACCTTCACCCAACCCCTGCCTGGTTGTCGGCGGCTGCCGAGCCATTCTTGGATCTACCACTGCACCTCCACCAACTCATCTCCGCCGTCCGCTCTGTCCCCTGGATTATTCTACATCGTTTTTTGAATCTGTTAAATAAATACTCACCTTCGTTTCAACTCACCTTGTCCTGGTCTGCTTCTGGGTTCTGGCTTAGTAAACCGTGACAGAACGGTCCGGCCAGAAATGAACCCAGCGGACCTGGACTCTGTTCGCCATGACATTACCCATCAGGAGAAGATGTTGGGACAACATAGCACGGCGCTACAGGAGATAGCTTTGTCCGTTCGGAACTTTTCTACCAGTCTGACGAAGATCCAGGCTCAGCTCAGTTTGCCGGTGGAGAATCCACGACCGGTTTCATCCATCTCGCCTGCCGCTTCTGGAGCTGTGCCCTTCCGTGAGCCCAAGGTTCCGACGCCTGATAAATATGAGGGGGAGTTGGGAAGATGCCGTTCTTTCCTTATGCAGTGTGGATTAGTGTTCGATCTACAGCCCCACTCTTATGCCACAGACAAGGCTAGGATAGCCTTTGTCATTGAGTTGCTGCGTGGTCGAGCTCTGGAGTGGGCTTCAGCCGTTTGGGAACAACAGGACACCTGCATGGCCTCATACCAGGAGTTCACGGCCGAGATGAGGAAGCTATTTGACCATCCCGTCCGAGGTATGGACGCAGCTAGGCGCCTGTTTTCGCTTCGCCAAGGAACTCACAGCGTTGCCGACTTCGTGATCGAGTTCAGGACTTTGGCTGTGGAGAGTGGGTGGAATGAGGAGTCTCTGCAAGCGGCCTTTTACCAGGGGCTGTCGGAGCAGCTCAAGGATGAGTTGATCTCCTATCCGGAGCCTAGTGACCTGGACAGCTTGGTAGCCTTGTCTATTCGGGTGGATAACCGAGTTCGAGAGAGAAGGAGTGAGAAGCAATGGGGCCCATCCACTTGTTCCCGGCTGTCGTCAAACTGCTCGGCTCGCTAAAGTTGGGAGGACTTTTAGCGAGCCAGTTTCAACCTCTCAATACCTCTGTCAGACCCCGTTTCCCGGCTACCCTCATGAACAGGAATCAGAGTCTAGCGATTAACGCTTTCGTCGATTCAGGTGCCGATGGAAGCTTTATTGATGCCGAAGTGGTGGAACAGCTGGGGCTTTCCAAGGAGCGATTACCGGAAGCCATTGAAGCTACCACTCTGAACGGCAGTAGTCTGGCACGTATCACGATGAGGACTGAACCGGTTAAGATGCTGTTGTCAGGGAATCATTCTGAGGTGATCTCATTCTTCATTCTGCCTTCTTCCCATGTTCCTCTGGTCCTTGGATACCCCTGGCTGAAAGAACACAATCCCACGTTCGATTGGGTGACTGGCAAGGTAACTAGTTGGAGCCTTGAGTGTCATGCTAACTGCCTCAAGACTGCCTGTTCCCATTCTGTTCCCAGTCAGGTGATTGAGGCTAGACCCCCAGATTTGTCCCTGGTTCCCGAGACATATCACGATTTGGGGGAAGTGTTCAGTAAGCAGAGGGCTCTGTCACTCCCTCCCCACCGACCATATGACTGTGCCATAAACCTGTTCCCTGGAGCTGTCTATCCCAAGGGACGGTTATACAGCATCTCCCGACCTGAATGTGAGGCTTTGGAGACCTACATCAAGGAGTCCCTAGCGGCTGGTCTCATTCGTCCCTCATCATCACCCCTGGGGGCAGGATTCTTCTTTGTGGGTAAGAAGGATGGCTCTCTTCGACTGTGTATTGATTATCGGGGGTTGAATGATATCACGGTCAAGAACAAGTATCCCCTGCCCTTGATGAGCTCTGCCTTCGACTCCTTACAGGGTGCTACTGTGTTCACCAAGCTAGACCTACGCAATGCGTATCACCTGGTCCGGATCAGAGAGGGGGACGAGTGGTTGACGGGTTTCAATACACCGATGGGTCACTTCGAGTATCAGGTGATGCCGTTTGGACTGACCAATGCTCCAGCAGTGTTCCAGAGTATGGTGAATGACGTCCTGAGAGATATGATCGGTCTCTTTGTGTTTGTTTACCTGGATGACATTATTATCTTCTCGAAGGAACCTTCCAGCCACGTCCAGCATGTCAGGCAGGTTCTGCAGCGATTGTTGGAGAATCGCCTGTTCGTGAAGGCCGAGAAGTGCGAATTTCACGCCCACACTACATCCTTCCTCGGGTACATCATCTCCAGGGGAGAGATCAGGATGGACCAGGAGAAGGTTAGGGCGGTTCTGGAATGGGCCCAGCCCGGTACGAGATTGCAGCTCCAGAGGTTTCTGGGGTTTGCGAATTTCTATCGCAGATTCATCCGGGATTACAGCCGTGTGGCCGCTCCTTTAACTGCCCTGACTTCCAGTACCAGGACCTTCAGTTGGAACCCTGAGGCGGACCGAGCGTTCCTGGATTTGAAGAGGCGATTCACCAACGCACCGATTCTCTCTCAACCTGACACGGCCCGTCAGTTCGTCGTGGAGGTGGATGCGTCTGATGTGGGGGTTGGCGCCATCCTGTCCCAGCGATGCTCCACTGACGGGAAACTCCATCCCTGCGCCTACTACTCTCGTCGTCTTTCGTCTGCGGAGAGGAACTACGATGTGGGTAACCGGGAGCTTCTCGCGGTGAAGCTTGCCTTGGAGGAGTGGCGCCACTGGTTGGAGGGGGCGGAGCAACCGTTTATTGTCTGGACCGACCACAAGAATCTTGCGTACGTGCAATCGGCTAGACGTCTCAACTCCCGTCAGGCCAGGTGGGCTTTGTTTTTCGGACGCTTTAATTTTTCCCTGACGTTCCGACCTGGGTCTAAGAACGGCAAGGCGGACGCTTTGTCCCGGATGTTCTCCAAGACGGAGGAGAGTGGGGCCAAGACCGAGACGATTCTTCCCCGGAACTGGGTCGTGGGAGCAGTTATGTGGAGGATTGAGGAGGAGGTTATGGCGGCCCTTCAGACGCAGCCCGGTCCCGGTAACGGTCCACCCGGTCGTTTGTTTGTGCCTGAGTCGGTTCGTTCTGCTGTCCTCCAATGGTCCCACGCCAGCAAGATGGCTTGTCACCCTGGCGTGGCCCGGACGATGGCGTTACTTCGCAGACGATTTTGGTGGCCGGCCATGGGAGAAGATACTCGGAGGTTTGTTGCTGCCTGTCCAGTGTGTGCGCAGAATAAGAGTGCCAACCGGCCCAGCTCTGGACTACTTCACCCCCTCCCTATTCCCCGGCGACCATGGTCGCATCTGGCCCTGGACTTTGTCACTGGGTTGCCCTCTTCTGAGGGGAACACGGTCATTCTGACTATCGTGGACAGATTCAGCAAGTTCGCCCACTTTGTGCCCATTTCCAAGCTTCCCTCGGCCTCTGAGACGTCCGAGATCCTGGTTAGGGAGGTTTTCAGGGTCCACGGGTTGCCCAGTGACATAGTTTCCGACCGTGGCCCTCAGTTTACCTCTGCTGTCTGGAAGTCTTTCTGTTTGGCCATTGGAGCTACAGTCAGTCTCACATCTGGTTTTCACCCCCAATCTAATGGTCAGGCGGAGAGAGCCAACCAGAAGATGGAATCCACGCTACGCTGCCTTGTCTCCTCCAACCCCACCTCCTGGGTCTCTCAGTTGCCTTGGGTTGAGTATGCCCACAATACTCTCCCTACATCTGCCACTGGGATGTCTCCCTTCCAGTGCCTGTATGGCTACCAACCTCCCTTGTTTCCTTCTCAGGAGAAGGATCTCTCAGTGCCCTCTGTTCAGGCCCACATTCGTCGTTGCCACCGGACCTGGCATCGGGCCAGAAAGGCCCTCCTTAGAGTTTCTGACCGGTATCAGCTCCAGGCGAATCGTCGCCGGATTCCCGCCCCCACCTATACCATCGGAGATAGGGTCTGGTTGGCCACACGGGATCTTCCTCTGCGGACTGAGTCTAAGAAACTGTCACCGAAGTTCATTGGTCCGTTTGTGGTGGAGAAGGTGATCAATCCTGTTGCGGTTCGACTCAAGTTACCTAGAACGCTCAGAGTCCATCCCACCTTTCATGTCTCCTGCCTCAAGCCTGTTCTCCTCAGTCCTCTGTTACCCCCTCCGCCTCCTCCTCCTCCCCCTCGGATGATCGGAGGTGGTCCTGCCTACACGGTGCGCCGCATTATGGATTCCAGACGGCGGGGCCGGGGTTTCCAGTATCTCGTGGACTGGGAGGGGTATGGTCCTGAAGAGAGGAGTTGGATTCCTCGGCGCCAGATCCTTGATGCTGACCTCCTTCGTGACTTCTACCGCCTCCATCCTGGCGCTCCGGGTAGTCCGCCCGGTGGCGTTCGTCGGAGGGGGGGGTACTGTCATGAACCCTGCATCCTGAGTCGGTTCCTGCCTGTGTTGCCATTTTTCTGCTCGGAATCTCCAGTTTCCTGAGGGTTCGTGAACGCTCCCGGCCTGGTTGCCGGGCGAGGTTGCTAGGCGGGAGATCACCCGATTAACTGCACCTGCATCTCATCAGCGGTCTGCACACCTGGTCCTGATCATCACCCTTCTTAAGCCCTGACCTGACATCCATTCCCTGCCGGATCGTTAGCCATGAACAGTATGTTTGTCAGTGTATCAGCCTTGGAGTTTCTAGCGTTAGTTTTGTTGTTTTGCACCTTGTTGGCTTGCCGTGTACTTACCTCCGTTTTGTTTCTATCTGCAGTCAATCTCCCGGAACCTTCACCCAACCCCTGCCTGGTTGTCGGCGGCTGCCGAGCCATTCTTGGATCTACCACTGCACCTCCACCAACTCATCTCCGCCGTTCGCTCTGTCCCCTGGATTATTCTACATCGTTTTTTGAATCTGTTAAATAAATACTCACCTTCGTTTCAACTCACCTTGTCCTGGTCTGCTTCTGGGTTCTGGCTTAGTAAACCGTGACAGGATGTTTGTTCCCTTTGACCGTTGTGTATTGCCAACTCTGTTGTTCTTGATGTAGGCTACGTTTCAGCACTGGACAGCAAGGTGACATTTTCCCTTTAGCTACTGACGTCCAACCAACCTATCGACCAGTCTGAGTCAAATGGTCAGGAAACCAATACAGAAAACGAAATTATAAGCATTGGTTGACATCGACAATTTTCATGAGGGCGGTTGAAATATTTTATCAACCTGAAATAGTCTTGCTAAGGTTGTGCTATAGGCCTAAGTATGTCTTATTGTGAACTGTGTCAATGTAGGCTTAAGTTTTTCCTTTTAACTTACGTCCATCAGCAATGTCTTCTCATGCACGATCATGTCACGATTAAATTGCATCTCCCTTATTTTTTTATGGTGGTAGTCATCAACGTTGGGAGGATACCATCTAGGTGGTCTTCTAAGAAGGAACATTTGGCAAACAATGTAGGCTTGAGCATTGAAACTGCTGTTTTCCTGGTGGACTCAGGATGTCGCTGTCCACTAGCTAAGGACAATTATGTAGCCTTAGGATATCTCCACCTACTACAGTAGTAGCCTACAAAGGGCGAGTACACCCAGGCTGCCGCATCACAGTGAAAAGCAGTCAGACATATTACCTTTCTTCCGCTTGGCTATTGGTTTTATTGTGCTTTATAGTAGGATAATTTTTCGACAACCCTAATTTCTCAATTGGAGTTCATTGGTATTAGACATCGAAGATGGGCTACATTGGCTTTAAGGTTCATGCGTTTGTTTTCCATCTGTTTTATTGTCTTTGCCTCATGCGCATCACCAATGGAGACGTGAGCTATTCTGTTCCAGAGGAGATGAAACGCGGATCTGTGATAGGAAATATAGCCAAGGATCTGGGGCTGGATGCTAAGAGACTTTCGGCTCGAAAAGCTCGTTTAGAGGAGGATGGAACTAAACGCCATTGTGACATTAACCTGAATACCGGAGCTCTTGTTGTAGCTGAAATAATTGATCGGGAGCAGCTTTGTGGTCTGGCGTTATCTTGTGGATTAACATATGAAATGGTTCTCGAAAATCCTTTAGAATTGCATCGCATAACGCTTCAAATTCAGGATGTTAACGACAATTCACCCCAGTTTGCAGATGATGTTATCAATTTGGAAATTAGGGAGTCGGCTGATAAAGGTGAACGCTTTCCCATCAACGAGGCCCAGGATGCAGATATAGGGCAAAATGCCGTTCAAAGCTATTCTTTGCAAAGAAATGGCCATTTTGTTTTGAATGTTCATACTAACCGAGATGGAGGAAAATATAGTGAGTTGGTATTAGAAAATGAGTTAGATCGAGAACAACAGCAGGAGGTGACATTGTTACTTACGGCGGTTGATGGTGGAACTCCACAGAGATCTGGTAGTGTAGTTATACACGTCACTGTGTTTGATGCTAACGATAATATTCCAGTATTTACCCAGGACGTGTACAGGGTCAGTTTGCCTGAAAATTCTCCATTAGGTACAGTGATTGCTACAGTGAGCGCCACGGATGCAGATGAAGGAACGTATGGGGAGGTGACATATGATCTAGGTCGAGTTTCTGATAACGTGAAGAAATTATTCCACCTTGATAGTAAAATTGGGTCTTTAACACTGACTGGCCCTGTTGATTATGAGGAAAAGTCCCTTTATGAATTGCGCGTCCTTGCCAAAGATGGTGCTGGGTTAGTGTCTTACACGAAAGTGCTGATAGATATTACTGACATAAACGATAACGCACCTTTGATATTTATTAAATCTCTGACCAATCCAATACCAGAGAATGTGTTACCTGGCACAGAGGTGGGCATCATTAATGTACAGGATAAAGACTCGGAGGGAAATAGACAGGTCCGTTGCTCCATTCAACAAAACGTTCCTTTCAAACTTAACCCCTCAATCAAAAACTATTATTCTCTGGTAACAACCAGTGAACTAGACCGTGAAATAATATCAGATTATAACTTAACTATCATTGCCACTGACGAGGGGTCTCCACCCTTATCCTTCTCAAAGTCCATTCATTTATCTGTGTCAGACGTGAATGACAACCCACCTGTGTTTGAAGAACAATCCTACAGCGCCTATGTGACTGAAAATAACAAGCCTGGCTCATCGATGTGTTCTGTTACTGCGAGAGACCCAGACTGGAGACAGAACGGTACAGTGGTGTATTCTCTATTGCCCAGTGAGGTCAACGGTGTTCCGGTGTCATCCTTTTTATCCATCAATGGAGACACGGGTGTGATCCATGCTGTGAGAGCATTTGATTATGAGCAGTTTAGGAGCTTCAAAGTCCACGTTGTAGGCAGAGACAATGGTTCTCCTCCACTCAGCAGTAATGTGGCTGTGAGTGTCTTCATAACAGATGAGAATGATAACTCTCCCCAGATATTATACCCTGCTCCAGCAGGGAACTCCTTGATGACTGAGATGGTCCCCAAAGCTGCTCTGGCGGGGTCCCTGGTTTCCAAGGTGATAGCTGTGGATGCTGACTCTGGACAGAACGCGTGGCTTTCATATCACATCGTGAAATCGACTGATCCGGGGCTTTTCACTATTGGTCTCCACAGCGGAGAGATCAGGGCACAGCGGGACATTTCTGAATCTGACAGTATGAAGCAAAACCTTCTCATATCAGTGAAAGATAATGGACAGCCCTCTCTCTCTACAACCTGTGATGTATATTTGCTCATATCAGATAACTTGGCTGAAGTTCCAGAACTGAAAGACATGGCTTATGAGGATAGTTCCAAAGTAACTTCCTATTTGATCATTGCACTGGTCTCTGTTTCCACCTTTTTCCTGACTTTCATTATTCTCATCCTGGCAGTGAGGTTCTGCCGTAGGAGAAAGCCTAGAATGTTGTTTGATGGAGCAGTCGCCATTCCCAGTGCGTATTTCCCTCCCAACTATGCAGAGGTGGGCGGAGCTGGAACGCTGCATAGTTCTTACAATTATGACGCATACCTGACAACGGGCTCACACACCAGTGACTTCAAGTTTGCCAGATCTTACAACGACAGCACGCTGCAGGCTGATCAGACACTGAAGAGGAGTCCAAATGAACCTTTTGAAGAAAATATCATAACGTTCAATACTTCGGAGTCTGAGGTGAGATTTCATAGCTTCATGTGAAAAACTTTTTGAAACTATCGGTTGCTCACTGTATTGTGTGTTGTTGGCTAATGTTATTACAACCGTTTGGACTCTTCTTGTACTTCGAAAATACTTTTCAGACATTTTCTTTAGTGGCATTTTTTATAATTGATCATCTCTGTATTCATATGTATGTTATCATCATGATCCCATTTCTATATGACTTAGTAAAACACGTTGGCCCATTTCTGGACCATGGACATTTTCCTCAGTATGTCTCCACTCTGCATCAAAAACTGCAGTGTGTAGGGACTTGAAATATCTTTAAAGAATTGCCTTATTTTTTATATACTTTTTTCCAGTGATTGAATTTGGAAATACTTCATGGAATGTATCTGTTGAAGGCTACATGTACATGCTACATTGTCCATTAATAGTAGATCGTTCGACTGAGATGTTGACTTGTATGGGCTGTAACACAAAGGGGCTCGTTTTTATACAGTCATCCATTTTGAAAAACCTTTGTCGATATGAAAGGTCACATTATTTAACTATGAAAGCAATTTTCTGCAGTTTTATGAAACCACACGAAGTGTCGCTATTCACCAGCAATAGCTTTTAAGTTTTCCTCTCCACACCATGTGTCATTTACAGGGAAGAGGCCTAATTAGTCAGTTAAGCAGTGTAGAGAAGTCGTGTGTTTAACATTTCGTATAGATCTCGTGGATTTTGCTTTCACTGGTTATGGACGTGTTGCTTTCACTGGTTATGAACGTTTCCTTGGTTGAATAGCACTGTATTCTACCACATCATTGCATTGGGAATATGTTTTATTGACTGAAAATGAAATTAAAGGTATTCTCTTTCTCTGCTTCGATGTTCGGCCTGGCTTTGTTTCTTTTCCTGCACACCAGCTACGGAGATGTGACCTATTCTGTTCGGAGATGAAACGCGGATCTGTGATCGGAAATATAGCCAAGGATCTAGGGCTGGATGCCAAACAGTTGTTGTATGGGAAAGCACGCTTAGATGTTGATGGCAGTATCATTAAATCAATCTGAATACTGGTGATTTGGTCGTACCTGAAATAATAGACAGGGAGTAGATTTGTGGTAGGAGGATTTCATGCACCCTAAAATATGAGATGGTTCTGAAGAATCCTTTAGAATTACATAATGCCCCACAATTCTTGGAACATGTACAGTAGTTAAGTTCGAGATCCGTGAGTCAGCCTTTAAAGGTGCTCGGTTTGCGGTCAATCAGGCTCACGATGCGGATATACGACTGAACGCAGTTCAACGCTATACACTACAGAGGAACGACCATTTTAGTTTGGTCGTTCATACCATTGCCGGTGGGGTGACTTAAGGTGAGTTTGTGTTAGAGCTCATGCACCAGTGACTTCAAGTTTGTCAGGCTGATCAGACACTGAAGAGGAGTCAAAATGAACCTTTTGGAGAAAATATAATCACGTTCAACACCCTGAGGTGAGATTTTATAGCTTTCACATTGTGAAAAACTGAAAAGCATTTTTTTGCCATTTTGCATATAATATGAAACGATCAGCAGCTGACTGTATTGTGTGTTGTAGGCAAATGTTATTATGACAGTTGAACTCGTCTGGTATTTTTTCAGTCATTTGATTTAGTGCCATTTTGATCATTTATCTTTATTTTCCCATCATTAACCCATTTCAATGTGACTTAATAAAACACATAGGCCCGTTTCAGCACCATGGACAGTGTCCCTTTACTCAGTATGTCTCCACTCTGCTTCAGAAACTGCAAGGTAGCAGCAGACGTGAAATATGTTAGAAAGAAATGTCCGATTTTTAAATAACCCTTTTCCAGTGATGACTTTTGGAAATATTTTATGGAATTCATCTTTTGAAGGCTACATGGACAGGGTACTTTTTCCATTAATAGAAGCCTATATCATTCGATTAGGATGTGACATTTTTTAATCCATGAAAACAATTTACCCCCGCATGTTTTGTTTTCGTATGCGTGGCATACTCTCCTCCATACAATTGGTGAGAGCCTTGCACACGATTTTCTGCAGTTTTGTGGAACTACACGTAGTGTCGCTATTCGCCAGCAGTAGCTTTTAAATCCACCTCTCCACCCATTGTTGACATTTCCAGGGAGGGAGGAGACCTCATTATTGCAGTGTAGAGAAGTCGCTTAACATTTTAACGTGGTACATCTATCTACTTGTCGCAAACATTTATTTCGTTGGATAGTACTGTATTTTACCACATAATTTGGCCTATTTGGAACAAGTTGTGTTCTCTGTAGATGGAATACAGGGGATTCTCGTTCTCTGCCTCGATGTTCTGCCTGGCTTTGTTTCTCTTGCTCCTGCGCACCAGTTATGGAGATTTAACCTATTCTGTTCGGTAGGAGCCAAGGATCTCGGTCTGGATGCCAAAACGCTGTTGTATAGGAAAGCTCGCTTAGATGTGGATGGGAGCAGCAAACGCTATTGTGAAATCAATCTGTATACTGGTGATTTGGTCGTCGCTTAACTATTAGACAGGGACCAGCTTTGCGGTAGGAGGATTTCATGCGCTCGAAAATATGAAATGGTTCTGGAGAATCCTTTAGAATTACATAACATAGTTATTCGGGTAGAAGATATTAATGACAATGCTCCACAATTGGGGAGGATATCGTTACATTTGAGATCAGAGAGTCAGCCGTTAAAGGTGCTCAATTTGCATTTTTTTTTTTACATTTTTAGTCATTTAGCAGACGCTCTTATCCAGAGCGACTTACAGAAGCAATTAGGGTTAAGTGCCTTGCTCAAGGGCACATCGACAGATTTTTCACCTAGTCGGCTCGGGGATTAGAACCAGCGACCTTTCGGTTACTGGCACAACGCTCTTGCCCACTAAGCTACCTGAGACCCCATTATTTGCCGTTAATCAGGCTCACTATGCGGATATAGGACTGAAAGCTGTTCAAAACTACACACTACAAAGGAACGACCATTTTAGTCTGGCTGTTCATACCAAACATGGTGCTGAAAAATATGGTGAGTTACTGTTAGAGAAAGAACTATACCGAGAACAACAGCAGGAGGTGACATTATTACTTACTGCTGTTGATGGTGGTACAACACAGAGATCTGGCACTGTATTTTGTATTTTGTTTTTATTAAGGATCCCCATTAGCTGCTGCCAAGGCAGCAACTACTCTTCCTGGGGTCCAGCAACATTAAGGCAGTTATATACAATTAAAAATATTACATGACATTACATTTCACAACAGATTTCACAACACATTAAGTGTGTGCCCTCAGGCCACGACGATACTATCACATACTGTATCTACAATACAAAATCCAAGTGTACTTGTGTGTAGAGTGCTTGTGTTATCATGTGTATGCACTGTAGTTATACACGTTACTGTTCTAGATGCAAATGATAATATTCCAGTATTTAGCCAGGACGTCTAGAAGGTCAGTGTGGCAGACAATTCTCAATTAGGTTAATTAGTTATTACTGTGAAGGCAACAGATGCAAATGGGGAAGTTATGTATGATTTTGGCCCCATCTCAGAGGAATTTACTACATTAATTTTTCTTGACCCCAAAACGGGAGACATCAGTTTAGCTGGACAGATGGACTTCGAAAGAGTCAATTTATGAAATAAGTATCCAAGCCAAAGATGCCTCAGGATTTAGGTATTTTGCCAATATAGTCGTAGAAATTACATATGTCAATGCCCCGCTGATACATCGAACATCTCTGATCAATCCCATGCCTGAAAATGTGTTACCTGGCACAGAGGTGGGCATCATTAATGTACAGGATAAATAGGCAGGTCCGCTGCTCCATTCAACAAAATGTTCCTTTCAAACTAAACCCCTCAATCAAAAACTATTATTCTCTGGTAAATACATGTGAACTAGACTGTGAGATAATATCAGATTATAACATGACAGATTACAGATTATAACATGACAGCACGCTGCAGGCTGATCAGACACTGAAGACGAGCCCAGATAAACTATTAAAAGGAAGTATTATCACTCTCAACACTGCAGGAGACTGAGGTAACCCACTCCACTGGGCACAGACGTCAATTCAATGTCTATTCCACATTTGTTCAACCTAATATCACTGAAATGACGTGGAAACAAAGTTGACCAGTGTGTGCCTAGTGTGATGCCTTTATTTAGGATTTTATGAGAATGGTAACATAGTTTTGAGACGAGATATTACTCATTTGCAGTTTGTCTAATAGCAAACGTGCAAGCCTGAAATGCATTACCCTATGTTTTAATAGCAAGTATGTCAGCAACATATGGGTTGGGTTCTAGTATTAAGAGTGTTGGGCCAGTAACCAAAAGGATGCTAGTTCGAATCCCTGAGTCGACTAGGTGAAACATCTGTCAATGTGCCCTTGAGCAAGGCACTTAACCTTAATTTATCCTGTAAGACGCTCTGGATAAGAGCTTCTGCTAAATAACTCCAATGAAAAATGTAGTATGGCAGTCTGGTGCAAAATTAAGTCATCAGAAGAGTGTTTACTGTTCTTCTATTAGCCTGAATGTATTTATTATTGGTAATTGGCATGTTTTATTTATAATTTATTGGTCATTGGCTGCATCTACTGTTCTTCTATTGGCCTGAATGTATTTATTATTGGTCATTGGCGTCTTCTAGGCTGATATTTGGTTTCGGGGAGAAATAGAATCAGGCTATGTATTCTATTCCGTCTGTAGCCTACTGGTACATATAGGCAACTTCTTTCACGAAATTTGACACCCCCTAAACTGAAATTCAATCAAGTGTAGGACACATATTCACACCACTACTCAGTAATATCAATGTGGCATGTTCTCCTTTCCAGCGCTGAAGCCAAGTTTTTCTGTTTCTGCCAAGTTTTTCTATTCTTTTAATATATTCAGTTTCAGTGAACATTACAGAGACTTAAATTAATAGATTCAGAAGTTGTAAATACATATCACATCGCGTTCCAATTCCGATGAAGCTACGCCAGTACTGTTTCAGCACCACACAGATGGGCAGCGCCACAGAGAAGCATGTTTTTCAGTGGGACAGGCAAAGCTGCAAAGTGGTCATTCTCGCCCTATCAGTCATTTTAAATGTTTTCCCTCTAATACTTAAGTTTACCTAGATATATTTTTGATGTAATGTTTGAATTTTAATACCACATTACTCCCAATTGTATGCTATATATGTTTTACTTCCCAGTGGGCAATCACATTCACACTTTTTATGGAAACAGTCAACCCTAAATCTCATGGGGCCTTATAGTTTTATGAGGTTTAATTGAACGCAGTATATTTTAGTTTTCAATGAAATACTCTAAGTGTCGCTGTTCATTTCATAATGTGTGATAGGCACATCACTCCACCCAGTTTATGCATAGAAAGGGAGGAGAAATTCTCTGTTCAGTGTGACAAACTAGTCTCGATGAGACAGTCTAAACGTGTACGTCAGAAATTACACATTTTAACGGAGCAAATGTTTCATTTTGAGGGTTGAACAACATATTTACCACAATTCTTAGTTGGACTTTTGTGTCATTTGAGAAGATGGAGTACATTGGATTATCATGGTCTGTCTCGAAGTTCGGTCTGGTTTTCCTTATTTTTTTAGTGCGCACGAACAATGGAGATATGAGCTATTATATTCCTGAGGAGATGAAAAGAGGATCTTTGATCGGAAATATAGCCAAAGATCTTGGGCTGGATGCAAGAAGATTTTCATCTCGCAAGGCTCGTTTTGGATATGGATGGCAGTCGTCAACGTTACTGTGACATTAATGTGAATACTGGATATTTGGTTGTGGCTGAAACAATAGACAGGGAGGAGCTGTGTGGACCGAGGGTCTCCTGTACCTTAAAATACGAGCTTGTCTTGGAGAACCCGCTGGAATTGCATCGTATCACTGTGCAAATTCAAGATATTTTCTAAAAAACGCGTTCAATTAGAAATTCAAGAGTCTGCTGATAGAGGAACGCGCTTCCTTCTGAGTGAGGCTCATGATGCGGATATAGGACAAAACGCAGTTCAAAAATATTCACTCGAAAGAAACGACTATTTTGTTTTAGGTGTTCATACAAACCCAGATGGTGGAAAATACAGTGAGTTAGTAGTAGAGAAGGAGTTAGATCGAGAACAACAGCAGGAGGCGACATTCTTACTTACTGCGGTTGATGGTGGGACTCCACATAGATCTGGTACTGTAGTCATACACGTCACTGTCCTAGATGCTAATGATAATATCCCCGTTTTTACTCAGAACGTTTACAAGGTCAGTCTACCCGAAAATTCTCCTTTAGGCACAGTAGTGAGTACAGTGACGGCTACTGATGCAGACAAGGGACCTAATGGCAAGGTGACCTATGAACTCAGTCGTATAAGTAAGAAAGCGGGGAAGCTGTTTTCTATGAACAAGACAACCGGAGAAATATACGTAATTGGCGCCATTGACTTCGAAGAGGAAACATTTTATGAAATAAGCGTACAGGCAGAAGATGGTTTAGGGTCAGCCTCAAATTGTAAAGTTATTATCGAAATCACAGATGTGAATGACAATGCACCAAAAATATTTATCAAATCGCTTAGCAATCCCACCCCTGAGAATGTGTTACCTGGCACAGAGGTGGGCATCATTAATGTACAGGATGAAGACTCGGAGGGAAATAGACAGGTCCGCTGCTCCATTTAACAGAATGTTCCTTTTAAACTAAACCCCTCAATCAAAAACTATTATTCTCTAGTAACAACAATCGAATTAGTCCGTGAAATAGTATCAGTTTATAACATAACTATCACTGCCACTGACGAGGGGTCTCCACCCTTATCCTCCTCAAAGACTATTCATTTATCTGTGTCAGACGTGAATGACAACTCACCTGTGTTTGAAGAACAATCCTACAGTGCCTATTTGACTGAAAATAACAAGCCTGGCTCTTCTATGTGTTCTGTTACTGCCAGAGACCCAGACTGGAGACAGAACGGCACAGTAGTCTATTCCCTATTGCCCAGTGAGGTCAACAGTGTTCCGGTGTCATCATTTCTATCCATTAACGGAGACACGGGGGTGATCCATGCTGTGAGAGCATTTGATCATGAGCAGTTTAGGAGCTTCAAAGTCCACGTTGTAGCCAGAGACAATGGTTCTCCTCCACTCAGCAGTAACGTGACTGTGAGTGTCTTCATAACAGATGAGAATGATAACTCTCCCCAGATATTATACCCTGTTCCAGCAGGGAACTCCTTGATGACTGAGATGGTCCCCAAAGCTGCTGTGGTGGGGTCCCTGGTTTCCAAGGTGATAGCTGTGGATGTTGACTCTGGACAGAATGCATGGCTTTCATTTCAGATCGTGAAATCGACTGATCCGGGACTTTTCACTATTGGTCTCCACAGTGGAGAGATCAGGGCACAGCGGGATATTTCTGAATCTGACAGTATGAAGCAGAACCTTGTGATATCAGTGAAAGATAACGGACAGCCCTCTCTCTCTACAACCTGTTATGTACATTTACTTATATCAGACAACTTGGCTGAAGTTCCAGAACTGAAAGACATGGCTTATGAAGATAGTTCCAAATTGACTTCTTATTTGATAATAGCACTGGTCTCTGTTTCCACTTTTTTCCTAACTTTCATTATTCTCATCCTGTCCGTGAGGTTCTGCCATAGGAGAAAGCCTAGAATGTTGTTTGATGGAGCAGTCGCCATTCCCAGTGCGTATTTCCCTCCCAACTATGCAGAGGTGGACGGAGCAGGAACACTGCGTAGTTCTTACAATTATGACGCATACCTGACAACAGGCTCACGCACCAGTGACTTCAAGTTTGTCAGATCTTACCATGACAGCACACTGCAGGCTGATCAGACACTGAAGAAGAATTTAAATGAACCTTTTGGAGAAAATATAATCACGTTCAACACCTTGGGGGAGTCTGAGGTGAGATTGAATAGCTTTCACATTGTGAAAAACTCAGATGCTTTAAAAAAAACTTACCTAGGCCTATAGCTATATTGCACTCTGTGGTTGTGTGCTATGGATCTGCTTGGCCTAATCCTAAATGATCGGTTGCTTGTGAACTTTGTATTTTACTCGTTGTTTATCCTGTAGTTTAATTTAAAATTGTGTATGTTGTGTAGGTTTAGCATACTTCGTTTGCTCCATTTTGTAACGCTTAATGGTCCAATGCAACCGTTTTTATCTCAATATCAAATAATTTCTGGTTAACAATTAAGTACTTTAGTGTGATTATTTCAAATAAAATGGTTACAAACAATAGCTTCTTAGTAAGATACATTTCTCATGCAAGAGTTTTGTTAGGATTGTCTGGTCTGAGTGGGTGGGGAAAACTGAAAACTAGCTGATAGTGGCAGAGAGGTTTGGAACTCTCTTTGGTATTGGTCTATTGACTAATTTACCGCCTGGTGATGTCACCAGGCAGGCCAAACCCCATTCCACCAAAACAGGCTGAAATTTCAGGCAGTCTTTTCAAACAGCTCTTACACTTAAAGGGCATTATCATAATTTTCACAATTTCACAGTATTATTCCAACCTTCATAGTGTGGATATATATACAAAATACAGGAAAATCACGTTTTTGACTGCACTAGGCCATTAAAAGTTATCTCAATGCATACTTTTATTTCAATATTTGGATATTGCTGTGTACTTCAAAAAGGCTTTTCAGTTATGTTATCCAGTGCCATTTTTAATCACTGGAAGTTTTTGAGGATGTATTTCCTTCATCTACCATTCGATTTCTCTGTGAGTCAGTAGCTTACAACACACACAGGCCCATTTCAGCACCGTAAGGGCTGGACAGCACACTTCTTCCCTGCACTCATCCAGTCTCCACTTTGTAAAGTAATACTGCATCGAGTTGCCTAGGTGACATATTTTAGAAGAAAAAAGGGATTTGTTTGTTTATGTTTGTTCCACTGATGTTGAAAACAATTAATGGACTTTACATTTTAATGGCTGCATGGATTTAACGTTGAGTTCTTCAATAATAGGTCATTGGTTTTAATGTTGTTGAATAATAACGCCTGTTATAGCAAGTCGTTTTTGACTATTCCGTTTTTTTCTTAAGCATTCATTTTGAACTGCCTTAGATGACAAGAACGATCATATTCTTTATCTATGAAAAGACATGAACCCTGCATTTTGGTTTGATTATTCGACAGCCTGTCCACCAAGCTGTCGAATAATAAAACCAAAAATGCAGAAGTAATTTGGTGAGACCTTTGCATGAGTTTCTGCAGTTTTATGATACTACACAGAGTGTCGGTATTCACCAGCAATAGCTTAGAAATCCATCTCTCCACCCATTCTCGCAATTTACAGGGAGGAGGAGACCTAATTTCAGCAGTGTAAAGAGTTGTCGCCTACTTAACATTTTAATGTGGTGCATTTTGTATCTACTGGTCGTAAACGTTTATTTGATTGGATAGCACTGTATTTTACCACATCACTTGGCCTATCTGGAATAAGTTGTGTTCTCTGAAAATGGAATATAAGGCATCCTCGTTCTCTGCATCAATGTTCTGCCTGGCTCTGTTTCTTTCCCTGCTGCGCACCAGCTATGGAGACGTGACTTATTCTGTTCCAGAGGAGATGAAACGCGGATCTGTGATTGGAAATATAGCTAAGGATCTGGGACTGGATGGAAAAACACTGTTGTATAGGAACGCTCGTTTAGATGTTCAAGGTAGCAGCAAGCAGTATTGTGAAATTAATCTGAATACTGGTGATTTGGTCGTCGCTGAAATATTAGACAGAGAGCAGTTTGTTGCAGGAGGATTTCATGCACCCTAAAATATTAGATGGTTCTGGAGAACCCTTTAGAATTACATAATATAATTCTGCAGGTATAAGATATTAATGATAATGCCCCACAATTCGCGGAAGATGCTATTACGTTTGAGATTGGAGAATCAGCAGTTATAGCCTCCCGGTTTTCGGTTGATCAAGCTCACGATGCAGATATAGGACTGAACGCTGTTCAAAGCTACACACTTCAAAAGAATGGCCATTTTAGTTTGGCTGTGCATACTAATCCCGGTGGGGCAAAATACGGCGAGTTAGTGTTAGACAAAGAGTTAGATAGAGAACAACAGCAGGATGTGACTTTATTACTTACTGCTGTTGACGGTGGGACTCCACAGAGATCTGGTACTGTAGTTATACACGTCACTGTTCTAGACGCTAAGGATAATAAACCAGTGTTTAGCCAGAATGACTATAAGGTCAGTGTGCCCGAAAATTCTCCATTAGGTTTATTAGTTGTTACTGTGACAGCCACCGATGCAGACGAGGGGTTAAACGGGGACGTGATTTACGGATTTGGTCCAATCTCAGATGAATTGAATAAACTATTTTCACTAAATCCCAAAACGGGTGAAATTAAGATAGCTGGACTGATGGATTTCGAAAAGGAGTCCATTCATGAATTAAGTATCCAAGCTAAAGATAACTCAGGGCTGACGTCTTTTGCCAATGTAGTAATCGAGATTACAGATGTCAATGACAATGCCCCAAGGATATCTCTTAAATCTCTAACCACCCCTATTCCTGAGAATGTGTTACCTGGCACTGAAGTGGGTATCATTAATGTACAGAATGAAGATTCAGAGGGAAATAGACAGGTCCACTGCTTCATTCAATAAAATGTTCCATTCAAACTTAACCCCTCAATCAAAAACGATTATTATTTGGTAACAACTACTGAACTAGATTGTGAGATAATATCAAATTAAAACATAACTATCACTGACAAGGGGTCTCCACCTTTATCTTCCTCAAAGAATATTCATTTATCTGTGTCAGACTTGAATGACAACACAACTGTGTTTGAAGAACAATCCTACAGCTCCTATGTGACTGAAAATAACAAGCCTGGCTCCTCTGTGTGTTCTGTTACTGCCAGAGACCCAGACTGGAGACATAACGGCACAGTGGTCTATTCTCTATTGCCCAGTGAGGTCAACGGTGTTCCGGTATCATCATTTTTATCCATTAACGGAGACACAGGGGTGATCCATGCTATGAGAGCATTTGATTATGAGCAGTTTAGGAGCTTCAAAGTCCACGTTGTAGCCAGAGACAGTGGTTATCCTCCACTCAGCAGTAACGTGACTGTGAGTGTCTTCATAACAGATGAGAATGATAACTCTCCCCAGATATTATACCCTGCTCCAGCAGGGAACTCCTTGATGACTGAGATGGTCCCCAAAGCTGCTGTGGTGGGGTCCCTGGTTTCCAAGGTGATAGGTGATAGGTGTGGATACTGACTCTGGACAGAACGCATGGCTTTCATATCAGATCGTGAAATCGATTGATCCGGGACTTTTCACTATTGGTCTCCACAGCGGAGAGATCAAGGCACAGCGGGACATTTCTGAATTTGACAGTATGAAGCAGAACCTTGTTATATCAGTGAAAGATAACAGACAACCCTCTCTCTCTACAACCTGTGATGTATATTTACTCATATCAGACAACTTGGCTGAAGTTCCAGAACTGAAAGACATGGCTTATGAGGATAGTTCCATAGTAACTTCCTATTTGATCATTGCACTGGTCTCTGTTTCCACCTTTTTCCTGACTTTCATTATTCTCATCCTGGTAGTGAGGTTCTGCCGTAGGAGAAAGCCTAGAATGTTGTTTGATGGAGCAGTCGCCATTCCCAGTGCGTATTTCCCTCCCAACTATGCAGAAGTTGACGGAGCTGGAACTCTCCGTAGTTTTTACAATTATGACGCATACCTGACAACGGGCTCAGTCATACCAGTGACTTCAAGTTTGTCAGATCTTACAATGACAGCACACTGCCTGCTGATCTTACAATGAAGAGACCAGTTGAGCCTATTGGAGAAAGTATAATTACTCAGAACAGTGCAGAAGATTGTGATGAGGCAAGATAACAGTGGCCTGACATAATTTACTGAGTTATCAAATTGAAATGTGCAGTTTGAATATCCACTTAAGGCTCATAAGCGTTTGAGGCATGGTAGGCTTGTTTAGGCTAGATTTCATTCGATAAATGTAGTAAACTGTTCCAGTGTGTTTACTTTCTGCCATTGGTTTGGTTCCTCGCTCTTATAAGAACTTTGTCCATGAAAAGATTCTGATTCAGCGCCCACGACTTCGAATAGGCCGTTCGCCTATTCGAAGTCGATTGTATTTCAGCACCACTATTATGGACAGCGCCCACCACTCTGTAGGCTTCCGCAATGGAATGACTAAAATACAATTATGCTTGATCGGAAAATGTGGTCGGAGGCTCCGTATGGAGGGTGTGACGCAAAGCAGAGCCTCCGGATGCATACAGAGGCCATATTGAGCTCTGTACGGCGTAGCCGTGCGACTCCCAAATGTTGTAACAATGCAGCGGGCTCCATATAGCTCCGCATTGACATGATTGGTTGACGGTAGGTGGGGGCGGGAGGTCCTGTATAAACACAAACTCACTTCCTTGACAACTTCCTTCACAACAGCACTGCTCAACAGCTCTGCGCTGCTCCGGGAAGCGTAAGAAGTATGAATGCCCTGACTTCTGCAGAGGCCGTATCACCATAAATGCTGCATGGCCAATGCAGACAACAGATTGACTATGCAGCGCCATTAAAGATATTGATAGTTAAACTTTTTTTCTGTTCTTACATTTTTCTAAGGAACATCATCAGGGATTTTTTCGACCATTGAAATCATTATTTCATTTGATTATTCGTTATTTTACATATTAATAAACGTTTCATGTAACGGTGCTTCAAGAAAACTAATCTTATTCAGTTTTAAATCTAGCATCCCTAGATACATCCGTTTATAAAAAAGAGGATTTACTTGAGGCTATACAGTGAATATGGGTTTGATTTAGTGTCATGTTTGTTTGTTTGTTTATACCCTGCTGCTGTTTTTGCAGTTCTTTGTGATGTTTTCCAACTTCTCTCGAAGTCTTCTGTAGTTCAAATGCGGACTTTATGATAGCAATCTACCGTATAGGCTACCTCTGACTTTGATTGTTTACTATAATATAGCCTAAAGCGTGTGAAGTGTAGACTATCGCTTATTTAATCAACTGTCAAACATTGAAAAATGGGCCTCTAAGCATCCTGAGCCTCAAATCCACACCCTTTTTTGTAGTCAGTAACAGTGTTGATATAAATACTCAGTGTGTCGCTATACACCAGCCGTGAACAGATAGATCTCTCCTCAGCCTCTCCTCCCACAACGGTAATATTCAAAGCAAGAAAACACCCTCTGCAAGACATCATTTCGCTGGATAATCTGGATGTAGGTGCTGCGTCTCTTCTCTTCGTTTAGCCAACTGCTGTATAGCTTATCTTCTATTATTTGAATACTTTTTCATCAAGAACAACTAGACTGTGCAGCATTTCAGTAGGCTTACCTCGAAGATGGGACAAAGCGTTTTATCGGTCTCAATACTCTGTGTGACTCTCCTTTCTCTGTTAAAACTGCACACGAGCAATGGAGATATGAGCTATTCTATTCTGGAGGAGATGAAACGCGGATCTGTGGTCGGAAATATAGCAAAGGATCTCGGGTTGGATGCTAAAAGGCTCTCGGCACGTGAGGCTCGGTTAGACATGGATGGGAGCAGAACACGCTACTGTGATATCAATGCTAACTCGGGGGATTTGATTATCGCTGAAACAATAGATAGAGAGGGGCTGTGCGGTCCAAGGGTTTCGTGCTCTTTGAAATACGAGCTCGTACTTGAAAATCCTTTAGAGTTACACCGTATTACTGTTCAAATTCAGGATATAAATGACAATTCACTGCTATTTTCTAGTGACCACATAGAATTAGAAATGAGAGAATCAGCGGATAAAGGGCAACGTTTTTTCCTAGACGAAGCCCATGATGCGGACATAGGATTAAACGCAGTTCAAAGCTATATGCTCGAGCGGAATGAACATTTTGTTTTGGCTGTTCGTACAAATACAGACGGTGGTAAATATGGCGAGTTGATGTTAGAGAAGGAATTGGATCGAGAACAACAGCAGGAGGTGACATTGTTACTTACGGCGGTTGATGGTGGGACTCCACAGAGATCTGCTACTGTAGTGATACACGTCACTGTGTTGGATGCTAACGATAATATTCCAGTATTTAGTCAAGACGCCTATAAAGTCAGTCTTCCGGAAAATTGTCCTTTGGGTACAATAGTAGCTAAAGTTAGTGCCACGGATGCTGACGAGGGACAAAATGGGGAAGTGAGCTATGATTTCAGTAATTTATCTGATAAAGCAGCGAAGCTGTTTTCTATTCAAAAGGATACTGGAGATATCAGAGTAATTGGACGAATAGATTTTGAATTGGAAACATATTATGAAATGCGTATCCAGGCGAAAGATGGATCTGGTTTAGTTTCCATCACAAAAGTAATTGTCGAAATCACAGACATGAATGACAATGCACCTGTGATATTCATAAAATCTTTGATAAATCCCATCCCTGTGAACGTGTTACCTGGCACAGAGGTGGGCATCATTAATGTACAGGATGAAGACTCGGAGGGAAATAGACAGGTCCGCTGCTCCATTCAACAGAATGTTCCTTTCAAACTAAAATCTTCTATTAAAAACTATTACACTCTGGTAACAACCAGTGAACTAGACCGTGAGATAATATCAGATTATAACATAACTATCACTGCCACTGACGAGGGGTCTCCACCCTTATCCTCCTCAAAGACTATTAATTTATCTGTGTCAGACGTGAATGACAACTCACCTGTGTTTGAAGAACAATCCTACAGCGCCTATTTGACTGAAAATAACAAGCCTGGCTCCTCTATGTGTTCTGTTACTGCGAGAGACCCAGACTGGAGACAGAACGGTACAGTGGTATATTCTCTATTTCCCAGTGAGGTCAACGGTGTTCCGGTGTCATCATTTTTATCCATCAATGGAGACACGGGGGTGATCCATGCTGTGAGAGCATTTGATTATGAGCAGTTTAGGGGCTTCACAGTCCACACTGTAGCCAGAAACAATGGTTCTCCTCCACTCAGCAATAACGTGACTGTGAGTGTCTTCATAACAGATGAGAATGATAACTCTCCCCAGATATTATACCCTGCTCCAGCAGGGAACTCCTTGATGACTGAGATGGTCCCCAAAGCTGCTCTGGCGGGGTCCCTGGTTTCCAAGTTGATAGCTGTGGATGCTGACTCTGGACAGAATGCATGGCTTTCATATCAGATCGTGAAGTCGACTGATCCGGGACTTTTCACTATTGGTCTCCACAGCGGAGAGATCAGGGCACAGCGGGATATTTCTGAATCTGACAGTGTGAAGCAGAACCTTGTTATATCAGTGAAAGATAACGGACAGCCCTCTCTCTCTACAACCTGTGATGTATATTTGCTCATATCAGACAACTTGGCTGAAGTTCCAGAACTGAAAGGCATGGCTTATGAGGATAGTTCCAAAGTAACTTCCTATTTGATCATTGCACTGGTCTCTGTTTCCACCTTTTTCCTGACTTTCATTATTCTCATCCTGGCAGTGAGGTTCTGCCGTAGGAGAAAGCCTAGAATGTTGTTTGATGGAACAGTCCCCATTCCCAGTGCGTATACATAGTAATAATTATGACGCATACCTGACAACAGGCTCACGCACCAGTGACTTCAAGTTTGTCAGATCTTATAATGACAGCACGCTGCAGGCTGATCAGACACTGAAGAGGAGTCCAGATGAAACCAGTGAAGCAATTGAGATTGGATCAAAATATTTGACTTTGGTAATGGGAAAAGTTATGTTAATGACGTGTAGATCAGGGGTGGGGGAGAGGAAATGTATTTGTTTGGTCTCCTTCCAATAGTTTCAATTGTGTGTGATGATCCATACTAGAATTCCTTCATCCAGGACCAAGAGCTGGGATCACAAGTATAACACCATGAGTATTGGGTCAAATGGAACCATGCTTCCAGGTAGAGGTAGACAGGGATCTTGGCTTGTGGAGATGGGGAGGACGATGGGTGAAACACAGGTCAATGATCACTGAAAATAAAATTAAAATATTGTTCACGTTCATGCTCCTTGGGTGTTTGCATCCTTTGACCCTTCATTGGACCCCTGGGGCGACCTCTGAGTCATCCCGTCATTCTATATTACCTGATTAGAGTAAAGTTAATTTGTTCTGGAGATGGACACAATTGTCTCACATTTAGATTTTTAAACCATTGATGAATGCAAATAAGGAGACATTTTCATACTTATGCCGCAGTATTTGTTCTGCAATGAAAACATTAGGGAGTAGGCTATGTCAGAAACGTTATAAAGGAAGCTATATTCTGAAGACACCTTTAACATCTAACTATGTTAAAGCCATTTATTTTTTGGAAAATCTTGCTGATGATAGCTGAGCTGTTTCTATGGTCTTTGAGAAAACCTGAATTTGTCAACCGAGGGCAGACTTTTCAACTCTCGTCTTGAGCAGAATCACCTAGAGTTTAATGTCTCACCCAGAGGTGGAAATGACAATGTGAAGAGGCTAGCCTGTTTTTTTTGCCAATGTGAAGAGACTAAACTGTTGGCCCTGGCATCACAGTGTGATAAAGCTAATGTAAAGAGGCTAGCCTATTGGCCCTGGCATCACAGCGTGATAAAGCTAATGTAAAGAGGCTAGCCTGTTGGCCCTGGCATCACAGCGTGATAAAGCTAATGTAAAGAGGCTAGCCTGTTGTCCCTGGCATCACAGTGTGATAAAGCTAATGTAAAGAGGCTAGCCTGTTGGCCCTGGCATCACAGCGTGATAAAGCTAATGTAAAGAGGCTAGCCTGTTGTTCCTGGCATCACAGCGTGATAAAGCTAATGTAAAGAGGCTAGCCTGTTGGCCCTGGCATCACAATGTGATAAAGCTAATGTAAAGAGGCTAGCCTGTTGGCCCTGGCATCACAGCGTGATAAAGCTAATGTAAAGAGGCTAGCCTGTTGGCCCTGGCATCACAGCGTGATAAAGCTAATGTAAAGAGGCTAGCCTGTTGGCCCTGGCATCACAGCGTGATAAAGCTAATGTAAAGAGGCTAGCCTGTTGGCCCTGGCATCACAGTGTGATAAAGCTAATGTAAAGAGGCTAGCCTGTTGTTCCTGGCATCACAGTGTGATAAAGCTAATGTAAAGAGGCTAGCCTGTTGGCCCTGGCATCACAATGTGATAAAGCTAATGTAAAGAGGCTAGCCTGTTGTTCCTGGCATCACAGTGTGATAAAGCTAATGTAAAGAGGCTAGCCTGTTGGCCCTGGCATCACAATGTGATAAAGCTAATGTAAAGAGGCTAGCCTGTTGGCCCTGGCATTACAGTGTGATAAAGCTAATGTAAAGAGGCTAGACTTTTTTCCATGATGTCACCCCAGGGTCATACTGTCAGCTTCCAAGTCTCTAATGAAGAACATGTTCCATCCAAGTCTATGTGCCAGTCAGAACCAGCCTCCTCTTGTACTCCTCTGTGTAAAGTATACACAGAAAAAGTGACACTATGGCTTAAAAGTGGCTCAAGCCTACAGCTTTTGGCCCAATGGAGAGAATAAACCAGCTATTTATATTATTTGTCAGGAACACATTTTTCTAATGCCTTTTTTTACAGTAGTAATGTGGCTGCTTAAAGGGGTCTGAAAGAGATGCCCGTAGATGCATAACACAATTCTGCTATAGGTCATTCTTATTGTAAGTGCACACACAGCATATAAACCTGAATTATGTTTTTAACATTCTTGTTTAATTTGTTTCTTGTCTTTTTACGCTCTCCCGTTGGACCATCATTTGGACATCTGATATTTTATTCTTCTTTACCTGTAGACACAGATGCATATTAGAGTCTCCCACTGAAATGGGTGGCTCGTGCAGTTGCCATGTAGGCCTATACAATGTGACTCTGACAGCGACACTACTTTACACTGGCTTACATCATTAATACACTTATATGCTCAATTGCAGGTCATTCTACAGGCCTTACTGTGTAATCCTTTTCATGATTACCTGTCTATTTGATGTTAAACTCAATGGTTCCCTCTGTTTCTTCAACATTGACCATTGACCATCTCAAGCACACTGCTCACACAGTAACACACAATGCAGTACGAACACACCTTGTCATTAGCACACAACACAACAGTCCATCATATTCCTCACCAGTTACACACACAACATTGTACTGAAGAGACAGCCCAGTAGTGGCCCACAAAGCAAAATCACTCACACACAATTGACCAGTAACACAAAGTATACTTCACGCTGAACTACACACAGCTCAGATCTGCAGACACACACACACTGCAGTATGACTACTATGCACAGCACTGCAGACACACACACTGCAATATGACTATTCTGCTCAGCACTGCCACACAATTCTAAAGTAGGTCAGGAGAATTAGTATTGTTGTAGATCCCCGGCCTTCCATCCCTGCTCAAAGATATCTCTTATTAATTTAATTATGTGGCATCTGATCTCTCTCTGTGTGCATAACTATCTAACCCATTGGCCGATGTTATATAACAATGAATGCCATTATATATTTTGTATAAAGATCTGGTAATGTAATTTCAATTGTGATTTTGGAAGAAGTGTATGATGAGAATGTGCAATTATATTCTAGTGCAGAGGACCCTAGACTATCATGCCTGCCAGTGATTGTTGGACTGTGGTAAAGACAAGCCTTGATGTCTCAGGGATGTGTAAGCCTGTAGAGGGAACTATGAGGTGTTGGGTGTGCAACTCTGCAGCAGGACGTGTGTAGGTTGTTTTGGGGCACATGTGGAGATTGTGTTGTGGATAGAGGGCATCATGCTTCACTGCTTTGACACACTGTCTGTCTCATCCTGTGATGACCTCTAACCTCACTCTGTGGGAGGCCTGTTGACCTCTCAGTTTCACCCCTAGTTACATGGAAATAGAGGGATGCAAAGTTGGCAACTTTGATGAATATAACATGAACTACAGCTGTTCAGATGTTTGAGACTTGGGTACATTGGTTGGTACTGTGAGTTATGAAATGTTGCAGTCAGGGTTAAACACATGAAGATTTGCTGCTGATCAATTGTTTATTATTGGTATATGGTGAAACAGTTATAGCATACACATTTTAAGTCCTGAAACAGTATTAGTGTTTTGAATTGGTTTTAAAGAAGCAGGTTGGCGCTGTCGCTCTCCATGGTACTGAAATACCAAACGTGCTGCATTCAAAGAGCGGTCTTAGGCTTGTCATTGTAAGTGCTCCAAATCCGTTTTAAAAAAGTGTTATGAAAAGTGTTTACTGACAATACACAGTGCAATAATCATCCAATTGCTGATGTAGGCTTAGTTATGGGCTATGTAATAAAACTGTCTTTAGATGGCTGTGTATCATTTCGACATGATGTTAGTCTTCGCTCTGGACTCTGAGCGCCGCTGTTGGACAGTAAGACGAGTTATATGCTTAAATTCACAGAACCTCCTATCTGATGGATTCATATGAGCTGATACAACATTCGGTGGAAGATATCTAGAATCAAACAGGAATGAAAATCGACATGGATAGATTTCCAATACAGCTTCTTTAGAAGGACTAAGAGGGAGTTGTGCATCAGAAGGATCAGGAGGCTACTCAATCAATAGTTTGTCAGAAATATATATTTTTGCAGGGTTTTTTACGAAATGTTTGAGGGAAAGCAAAATCGAAAGCAACAATGGCAAGGACGATTGATTATTTTGTGTGCCCTCTTGTTGCATATAGTTCGATGCCAGGTGCGATATTCGATTCCAGAGGAAATGGTGCACGGGTCTTTGATTGGTGATCTCTCAAAGGATTTGGGACTAGATATCCGAAGACTAAAATCTGGCCGGGCCCGCATTGTTAGTGAGGAAAACGACTGTGTAGAGCTGAACGCGGACAAAGGGATTCTGATGGTCAAAAAACGCATAGACAGAGAGGAGCTGTGTGGACAGACATCCCCCTGTAGCTTCAACTTCGAAATGGTTCTAGAAAATCCAATGGAATTATTTAGTATAACTGTGGAAATACTCGATATCAACGATAATTCACCTGCCTTTGCAAATAAGGAAATTACCCTGAATATCAGTGAAGTGGCGTCGCCTGGAGCTCAATTTATTTTAGGCAGTGCCGTGGATCCTGATGTAGGTTTAAATGCACTGCAAAGCTACAGTCTAAAACCTTCGACGCATTTTACTTTAAAAGAACAAACGTTTGCTGATGGTGGTAAATATGTGGAGATGGTTTTGCAAAGTCCTTTAGACAGAGAGAAGGAAGGTGAAATGTTTCTAACATTGACAGCTGCAGACGGAGGAAATCCGCGGAGAACAGTGATGGTGAGCATAAAAGTGAATGTTTTGGATGCAAATGATAATGCTCCGGTCTTTAGTCAAGCCATATACAAAGCTTCTGTTTTTGAGAATTGCCCTAAAGGGACTTTAGTAGCAACAGTGATTGCGACCGACGCAGATGTGGGCAGTAACGGTCAGTTAGAATATTACATTGACCACCTTACACAACAAAATGCTATGGTGTTCACACTAAGTCCAAGCAGTGGGGAAATACGAGTATCAGGTTTAATCGACTATGAGAAAACGAAGCAGTTTCAAATTAATGTTATTGCCAAGGACATAGGTGGTCTCTCAAAATCTTGCAAAGTTATAATTGAAGTGATAGATGTGAATGACAATCCTCCCGTTATAGCGTTGACATCTTTTTCCAATACCATCCCAGAGGACTCTCCTCCGGGGACAACTGTCGCCATTGTTAACGTGAAAGACTTGGACTCTGGACAAAATGGTAATGTTAATTGTTCCATCGACCATTCTCTTCCCTTTAAAATAGAATCTTC